AACACTAACAGCCTCTCAAATTCTGTGTGTGTACACAGATGTCTGTGCTCCTTAGCAAAAGGGTAGGGGCATCAGGCATAGAGAATTGGGTAGCATTAATGAGAGAAAACTGGAGTCCAGTAGGCAAGCAAAGAAAGATTCACGGAAAGGACAGAGGATCATGTATTAAGATGGGAAAAAGGTATAAATGCCCTGACATAAGTGCCAAGGCAGGGCTGGAGGGAGAATAAGCTACAGCTAGCAACATGCCTGGTAAACCACAGCCAAAGCCACAGCCAAAGGCAGCCAGGCCTATGTTCAGTTAGTACATGGAGACCCGCAGGTTGCAGTCTTGGCTTTGTTTCCAAGACCCCTGAAAACCAGTGTAACCTGAGTGATCTATAAATATCATACTCAGTCACTAAGGCTAGGTATCTATATTTTTTTAGTTACTTAAACTGTTAAGAAATTGATTTTGAAGGGCACATCTTTAAACAAAGCACATTTTGACTGGCGTTTCTTATTCTTAAACAATAATTTGTATTACATTATAGAAGTAAAAAAAAAAAAAAGAACTGAAATGAGATATCCATTATCACTAGCTTTGTAGCCATTAGAGACCTTTACTTGGAATTTAAGTCACTGTCTCACTTTTGTTCATTAAGTGATTTTGAACATCTGATGATCTTGCTCTAGACCTCCATAAAATAAAATATCTAGCAATAGACACCTCTGATTTCTGGAAGCCTACGATCAAATGGAATTAGAATTTGAGTTTGAGAGCATCATTATGTCAAGTGCATTGCAGTTAATTCAAGTGAGGCTTTAAGGAGAAGCCTCAAACCTCTGGGAGCATAACTTGCCTGTAAAACGGATAAAATAATGTCTATGCGGGGTTACTCTCAGGGTCAGAATACAGGATGTTAAGGGCCCACGTGACATCACAAGTCACTCCTTAAGAGACCATGTATGTCCTCGTTATTGGGTACTCCATTTTTTCACCACAGAAATCCAGTTATTGAAGAAAGAAATTACTCAGTTTTGTAATGGAGGAAATGGATTCAAAGGTAAAGGAACTGACCATATGCCAGAATTAGTTTATCACTTGACTCCTGGTACTTTTCTTGAGTGAAAATGGATTCAAATGCACCTCATTTTAAGTAGGAAAATTTGAAAACTGGAATTTTCAGATAAATTTCTTTCTAATCCCTTCCCCAATAAAATGCTTCTCTTTCTGTGAGCATTTGTCTAAGGAAAGATGTAGAGTGGTCTTCCATAGTGCATAAATTTCAGTGGAATGCAGTAAGATCCTTTGAGAAAGAAACTTTCAGAAT